AAAAAAAAAAAAAAGACAAAGATAAAGAAAAAAAATGATATATATTTTAATATTTTTATTTATTATTATTTATGTGTATGAGTATATTATTTGCTTGCAAGTGCTATGCCCACAGAAGTCAGAAGAGGGAGTCAGATTCCCCTGGAACTGCAGTTACAGGAGGTCGTTAGCTACCATGTGGGTGCTGAGCCTCAAACCAGGGTCCTCTGCAAGAGCAGTCAGTTAACTGCTGAGCCATTTTTCCAGCCCAAGAAATTATGTATTTTTGACCTCAGATCATATCTGTATTTTTTCTAGAACTAAATCATGTCCTTGTTCTTCCTGAAAGAGGAAATGTGTAGAACTTGTAGGAAGGTTTAAGGGAAGCCAGATTCCTGACCCATACTTAATTGTACTATGAAACTAATGAGACAGTATCAACAGAAATATTTCATAAGGCTGCGGTCAAGTGGCTCCATCACTGTCTGGTCTAGATGCTCACTTACAGTAATGATTACTAGTGGAATGCTTTTTCTCAACTAACCTACATCAAAGTCTGGGTAAGACTAAGTCAACAGCAGAGCTCTTCTACAGCTTCAACATAAGCTACTCAGCCATTTCAGTCACCTTCCTTACTCCAAGCCAGGACCATACTTTATGGGAACTACAAAACCCTCAAAAGCACAACATACCTGGTTACAACAAAAGTTTGTTCACACGTAATGCAGAATGAAGCAGCTTAATGGAATATCCACATTGGTTCAAAGGCAATTTTTCCTCCCCTGTAGCATAGTACAGTACCATGTAACAGCTGCTCAACACACCATCTTCAACAGAGCCCAACAGAGCATCCTAATGTGCACTGCGCACTCTGCACACGTTTTTTCTCTTGGCACAGTTTTACCATGGGCTCTGCCTAAAAGTCCTTATGTCATGATTCATGATGTCATGATATTGTCACTGTCTTCGTCACTTAGGAACCCCTTGAATTGTTTATTCCTTAATTCAAGCTACATTGGCTTCCCTTTTTTTTAAGGTCAAGTCCTGTGATGGCTGTGTGGATTGCCAACTTGACAGGATCTGGAGTCACCTAAGGAGACAAGCCTCCAAGCACACCTGTGAGAGGTCATTTAGATTAGGTTAGCCTCTGGGACTGCCTGTGGTTATTCTTGATTAGGTTAATGGAGAGTTGGAAGGACCCACCCTAAGGGCATCCCATTCCCTGGGCTGGGGGCCTGAACTGCTTAAAGAAAAGAGAGTGCTTCTGTCTGTTTCTTGACTGTGGGTGTAATGTGACCAGCTGCCTCCACTTCCCACCACCATGACAGACCAAACCTCAAACTGTAAGCAAAAATAAGCAAATCTTCCTGTAAGCTGCTTTTGTCAGAGTATTTGATCACAACAAGAGGAAAAGTAACTAATAAAAATCTTCTACTAAATTTTTGTTTGCTTGTTTGAGACAGGGTCACCATGTAGCCATTGCTGGCCTGCAACTTGCTACGTAGACCAGGCTGGTCTGTATCTCAGAGAGATCCACCTACCTCTGCCTATTGAGTGATGGAATTAAAGTCACAAATCACCATGCCCAGCTTCTGATCTTTATCTCTAATCTGAGCTGGCTTAAGGCATAGAAAGAAGGTACTCATGAGTTTCCTCTGTGATGATGAGAAAAATAAAACTGAGGCAGAAAACTGAATAGTATGTACTTCACTTATATACTGAAATTTAAACCCAAATTTTAACATAAGGATTTATCTTTTAAAAATTTAAATTTATTTTTATGTACATGAGTGCTTTGCCTACATGTGATATAAGTGCACTCATATTGTGCAATGCCCAAAGAGGATGTTGGAGCCCCTAGAACTGAACCCAGGTTGTCTGCAAGAGCAGTCAGTGCTCTTAACCACTGAGCCATCTTTCCGGCCCCAACTTGTTTCATTGTTAATCTTAACATGAAACAACAACTCCAAGAACCACACACTCTCTAAAAAAGTCTGTTTATCTCCATCTAAACTTGAACATAATCTTTATGCTCTTCAGCCATTCACAACATCACTCCAGAGATTAATTCTAGACCGTCTTTTCAAAATGAATTCTTTTGTCTACCCAGAGATCCCAGGTGTGGTGCTTAGTCCCCTTCAATAACAAAGCATAGCTAAGAAAAAGTCAGCAGCTGTTGGGAAGCAAGGACACTCTAAGTATGTTAAAGGTCAATGGGGGTCTGTCGGGATCAAGACTCGAAGGGCTCGGGGCTCCATATTCTAAGTTGGAACCTGTCAAATTGTGTCACTCAGATCGGGCTCATCAAGTCTGAGAAGATTCCCTCCTCCAATGGGCTCCTTGGCAGTGCTCCCCAATGGCTATACTATGGCTTCCTGTGTCATTTAAAGAAATAGGCAGAAACAAAATATTCCTCTCTGCAATGTCCCAAGTAAAAAGAGTCACCTAATTATTTTTATTTTCTACTATGAACTGATGTTCTCAAATTCAAAGTAAGGACTGCCTACAGAGCTTGGGTAAAGCCACAAATTCTGGGTCTTTGACAGGTTAAATCCTGCCCCTTCCCAAATTTCAACATTGGGTCTTAACCCCCGACACTTCAGAATGGGATCATATTTGGAGATACGACTCTTAGAGGCAATTAAGGTGAAGTGAGTGAGCCTCATCTGACCAGTGTCCTATCAGCCGGGCATGCGACATAGCTGTTACAAAGGGAAAAAGCAGCCACATCCAACTTAAGACGGAAGACCACAGAAGAACCCAACCTCCCCAACACTTCCACCTCAGGCTTAGCTGTGAAAGAACACATTTCTGACAACATCTGGCATGGGGTCCTTTGTTATGGCAGCTCAAGCATGATAACATGGGTGCCTGTCTCCAAACCTCATGATGAATAGGTAGGCAGAACACAGAAAACACCACAGGTGACTGGGATGCAGGAAGTCTTCATGTCAGGTTTCTAAGCACTCAGCACTAATGAAATGAATGAAGGGATGGTGTTACTTAGCAATGTCCTCCAAGATAAAACATTGCATCAGGCAGAGAAGCTCATCAAATCTCAGGATGTGCTAAAGGGAGTGAAGCATTCCATCCTATAGTGGAAGGTCCTTAAGACTCCGGAAGCAAACAACTCAGAAGCCTCAGGAAGTCACTGAAACTGACCAGATGCACTAGGTTCCTCCCACCCCAAGCTTATATAAGCTAGTAAGGACTGCCGGCTGCCTAGACAGCTAGCTCAGCCAAGGTGCCTGAAGAGGCTCAGAATGACCGAGATGTCTGAAAAAGACACTCTCCAACTTGTTGAGCTGCCAGCAAATACACAGGGTTCCAGCTGTCACCCATACTGGGGTGGGCTTCTGATGATGCATCTGTCTTTGAGTCATTTCTGCTTCTGTAGGTAACCCCTCACCCACATTCCTATAAGTAACCCCAATAAACATATTGATTCACTAAGTTGTGGGTTAGTAGTATCCTTACTTTAGTCTGTCATCGATTCTCTATCTGGGGTGCATACAGGTATGGTCATGTCTCCCCAGGAATTGTGTGTTATTTGATAGATGAGGAACAGATGTATGGACCTCTAGGGGAGGAGAGGAAGAGTGGAGTAGCAGAGAATTTCTTCCACATCTCATCCCATCCCACCATAGCAGAGATTCCAGCATGATCCAGGGCTCCCAGACACAACCTCTGAACCATTTTCAAATTAAGTCAAATCAGTCATGAATGAAAAAGGTCAATAACAATCCTACAAAGTTTCCTCAAAGGATAAACACATGTGTTCTATAAGCAGGAACCCTACATTACACTGACAATAATGCTCCAGGAATTATTTGGAACAACAAAACAGAGGACCTTGGGCCCCTGTGACTTCACAGGACAGAGTTACTATAAGCTGTGGGTAGGAATTCTCTCTGTCTGGCTTTGTCCTTCCCCTTTTCATTCCAGGTGTCTGTGACATGCAGCAGAACCTATGTCTAATCAGGCACATAGGTTCCTGCTTTATCAAGCATTAAAAAAAAAAAAAAAAAACAGCTGACATCACCAGTAACAGGGGGCCACCCCATCCCTGACTTATCCTTCAGGGGTGATCTGCACATACTGCTCGGGTCTGCACTAAACTCACTGAGCACAGATCTGGGCAGGTCTGGACCTCTACAATCAGGATAATCCCACACTGACCTCAGCTAGTGAGAGCCAATATCAAATTATCTGGTTTCTCTATTATAGAGACATATACAGGGCGGGGCGGGGGGGCATCTACACAGGCTTCACAGATGGCTGCCAAATGAGAATGAACAGCAACATGAAAGTATTGTGATTATTTAAGAACCAAGTGATACGTGTAAGTCTGCTGTGTGAGTATCCATGAGTACATCAATGCACAGCTGGACTATAAAATAGTGGCATTTTCAGAAACAAATGATTTAGGCATTCTGTTATCAGATTGAATCCTCTAACTTGAGTGATATTCTACCACTTTTTCTATCTGAAAACATAAGCAATTTTACTGGATTCCAGCTAATGCTTTCCCTCCATAACAATCACTTTCTGAGGCACAAACACAAACAATTCACAGGAAAACTTTAGAGGGGAATTCTGCTTCAACACCGTCATCAGAACCAGCGGTCTATGAGAAAACTGGATGTGACCTGTTCCCCTCACTTAGGCACTGTACCGTTGAGTTTGAAATGTCAATTTGCCATAATTTAGAGTCACCTAGAAAGAGTCTCAATTGAGAGTCTGTGGGCATGTCTGTGGGGGACTGTCTTGATTGTTAATTGATGTAGGAAGACCCAGATCACCCTGGGTAGCTCCACTCCCTCGGCAGGGGCTTCTGAATCATCCAGGAAAGGAGAAAGCTAGATGAGGGCAAAGAAAAGCAGCAGCATGGATGGGTTTGTTCACTCCTCTGTTCCTGTCTATGGATGTGTTGTGACCAGCTACCCGAGTTCTGCTTTGACTTCCCCCAAATGATCCCACAACTTGGAGTTGTAAGTAATAAGCCCTTTCCTCCCCTATATTGCTTTTAGTCAGGGTATTTTATCACAGCAACAGAAATGAAACTTAGACAACCATGAAACATAAGAAAGAAAATAAAACATCATTTTCAGGAGTGGGGCCATTATCAGGGGAGACAGTGACTAAGAGGAGCATTTCATAAAGTTTCAGTTAAGTCAGATGAATAAGTTGTACAGACCTGCCTATAGTCAATAATTCTGTGTCATTCAGCTAAAAGTGTGTTGAGCAGCCAGGTGTGGTAGCTGACACCTGTAATTCCAACTATACCTGAGGCTGAGGTCTGATGATTACAAGGCAAGCCCAGCCTGGGCAACTTAGTATCTCAAAATAAACAGAAATGTGTGGGTATAACTCAGAAGTAGGGTGCTTACCTGGCATGTGAGAGGCCCTAGGTCCAACTCCCAGGACCGTTTAAAAAAAAAAAAAAAAGTCCCAAACCAGAGGTTCTTCAGATCTTCAATGACCGTCCTAATCTTCATATTCTCACCCCAGGATTTGACTATTTTTGAAATATGGAAATCCTATGGTAAGTGTTTCTACCACGAGAGAATATATTTTAATACGCAATTATGAAATAGTGTATAAGGAAACCCCATTATGTGGGTACCATGGGAAACAGCCCTTGACGGGCCCAGAGCGCAGCCGGCTGCCCCCCTTACCTTTCAGGGACACCCAGTAGTGCTTCCACTTCCTCCGGGTGGCCGACTCCACCTTCTTGTTCTTTTTGTGCACCAGGAAGTTCTTGACAGCCAGCGCGCCAGCCTTGCGCACAGTGCCCTGCGCAGCGGTCAGCAGGATGTCCGACTGGCCCGGGGAGCTCAGGGTACCGCTGCTCTGCTCGTCGCTGTGGGCAGAGCCCGCCTCCTCCAGGCTCTCGCTGTTGGTGGTGCTCATCTCCAGCTCCCTCCTGAAGTTCTCGTACACCCCCTGGCGTGCTGCATCCCCAGTGGAGCTGCTACCGCTGTCGCTGCCCACGAAGGCCCTGCCGGCGGGGGGCGAGTAGCTGGAGTTGGTGGCATTGGATCGCCTGGACAGCAGGTCCGTGTCGGTGGTGGCCCCTTCAATCCCACTGTCTGCAAACTCGCTGCCCTCGCCTGTGTTAACATCCTTGGGGGCAGAAAGGGAGAGAGAAGCAGACATGCATCACGCGTGGAAGGAACCTGGGAGCGCCTGAAGGTCCAGCCTGGGCCCTGTACAGCTCCTGGAGGGATCCCTCCTCACACTAGCACACCGCGGAGCAGCTCAGGAAACAACCCCTCAGCCGCCCAGCACGCAGCTTAATGATTCTGAATGTTCAAGAAATATAAAAGGAACAGGGAACACTTCAAAGAGCTTATCATTTCTCTGACTTAGCTAATTGGCAAATCAGCTACTGAGATTCTACCACCAACATGCTGAGGGAGCTCAGAGCCCTCAGCCACCCCTCAGCTGGCCTTGAACTCCAGGAAATTCAGCAGGCAGATTATTTGTTCCGGAGGTCGGGGTTAAAATGTAATAACCAGGTCTTTACAGCTGGTTTTTTTTTTTTTTTTTTTAAATAAAATAAAAGGCCTGCTTGGGAGTCTATTTTATAATGGAGTGACTAAACACATTGCTAGCACGCCCACTCACCCAGCAAGGCCCTATATTCCAGGAGCAGGTAAGAGACCTCATGCCCTAATCAGCCTCACTTCAGGAAAACAGCCTCTTGCTCTGCATCGTGCTAAATCAGTCTGTGGGGACCACAGATTCACTGCACCTCTCCAATAACTTTGCCCTTTCAAAGCCGGGAAGCCAGGAGCCCAAAGCAAGCGACTCACTGCCCTGGGCCACATGACCACTCAGGGTAACTGTCAAGATGCTGGTGTATCAGTGCCCAGTTGCAGAGCATTTGAAACATCCAGAGCTGCCCCTGTACTCCAGTTCAACATTTCCAGGACAGACAGGTAAGATGCTTAAATCAGAATCATAATTGTTCTAAAGTACTACAGGCATGTCCAGAAACAATAATTAAATGATGATACCAAACAGGACAAAGCAACAGCCTTAGGGATGAGAAACCAGCTGATCATTCTCAAAGGAAGATAAGAGAAACCTGAGTGTGATGGGGACAAGAAGGCAAAGTAAGCCACAGTTTGGTAGTGTCACCATTTTTTGATCCCTTAGCCTTATAAATAGCTAATTGTGGTTGAAGCATGCAAAAACTAAATGGTGGAGGGGGGTTGGAATGATGGCTCCACAGTTAAGAGCACTAGCTGTTTTACAGAGGACCTAAGTTTGGTTCTCAGCAACCACATGGTGGCTAACACCTGTAACTAGAGTTGCAGGGGCTCTGACACCCTCTTCTGGCCTCTGTGGGCATTGCACACACATGGTGCACTTAGTATACATGCAGGCAAAAGTCACACACATAAAAATAAAACAAAATAAATTTTAAAACCTAAATGTATATTCTCAACTGTCATGAAAAGGAGTATTTTGAACCCAAATCCACACTGAGACAATGAAACAGAATAAGCAACACGACAGCCAAGACTGTCCTGGGCCAGGTGCACAGGTGCTCGGCCTCTACCTTTGTGGGCCTGAGCCAGTTTGAACTTACAATGGTTCATGATCATGAAAAACTGTTACAGAACAACTATAAGACATACCTAGCCCAATCCAAAAAGGAGCAGGAAGGGGTGGGAAGAGGTGGCAGGGTGTAAATGAATAAGTTTCTACAGACCAGCCCCATAGCAAATGGAGTACAGACCTCTGGAAGTGCAGAAACAAAGAAACCACAGATGCAACTGTGGTTTGAATATGGTTTGTTCTCCAAGGGTAGCCTGGTCCCAGTGCAGCAATGCTGAGAGGCAGTGGAACCCCAGAAGAGGGGAAAACAGAGGCGGGGCCTTATGGGAAGTATTTAGGTCGCTGGAGGCTTCTCCCTTTGAAAAGATCAATGCTGGTATCCCTTCAGGGTATTCCTTCTAGAGGGAGGTGCTATAAAAGAGCTGACCAGAGTCCCTCAATCTCTCTCACTCTCCATCTCATCATGCAATCGCTCCCTCTCACATAGATTCCCACCATGATGCCATGTGTCAGAAAGACCTCAACACAACCAGCAGATGCTAGAACCCTGCTCTTGTACCTCCCAGATTAAGAGCTAAATCTCTTTTCCTTACAAATTAACCAGCCTTGGGCATTTCATTATATCTGTGAAAACCTGACTAATACGCCCTGTACTTGCTCTCCCGTTACTTTGTTTTCTGTTCTCCTGCTGAATAACAGCTATGGATGGTCACCAAGAACCCAGATTCAGTTAGCAAAAATCCACTACACAAAAAGGAAAATACTATTATCAACCCACATTTCTCCCTGGCAGAGACATTTACCATATGCTTCCCAGTAGATATAAGACAGTAAGGAAATTGGACAATTCTAGATAACCACAGTCATGGAAGAGTAGAAGTCTGTGAATTTCCTAAACTCAGTCCTTCTACGTATGAAGGAACCAGCTATAAACACCACTGGCCTCGAAAATGCAAAGTGGCACAATGCTCGACAAGAGAAAGAAAAGCTGTATAGGCAACATGCTTTATATCCAAGGAGATACTTCAGTACAAAGAAGGGGAGAACTGGCCCCAAGTATCCTGTAATTTCCAGCAACCTAGAAAAGGAACCTTGTAAAGCCATCGAATACTGCGACTCAGAAAGTCACAAGTCTGGCTGGTGGCAGATGGAAGATAGGAACTTAAATTTCCAAGAACCTCTTCCTACTACGATATGGTATCCCCATGGCTCAGCTGTGAGGCAACATGGGACCAGATTTTTGACTGAATTATTCAACTCCATGCCTTGCCTACTTTAACAACAACATCTCTAGTTTTCTTTGGGGAAAAGCCAAGTGACTGTTCATCTGTTTGTCTTAACTTGCACAGCAAAGAGCAGAAACTAGAAAGCGGAAGAGCTGAAGAGATGCTAAGAGGATGAAGGAAAGGAGCTGTTAGGCCATCCTCAACAGCCTGCCGTTTAAAGCCCATGACAATCCTACAGACCATTCGTTCACCCCTCTCTCTCTCTCTATGTAAAATGAACATTAAGTATTCTATAGACACTCACCTCTGTGTCAGACCAGAACATCTGCTCATGCCAACTGAAGCTGTAACTTTGCAATGGGCCAGGCTGGGAGTGTTCAACTGAGATGGTCACCAAACCGAACTAGGCCAAGATTGTTCTAGGTAGGAAGACCGTGGCCTCGAGCTGAACTCACATACTTTGGAAGCACATGGCTCAGTGTAATCACTGGGGAATGCCCTTGGATCTGCCCAAGAGGACTCCACCTCATCCCAGAAGAGGTTAATCAGGCTCAGTGATTCCCATCAATGACTATGTGACCTAATCCATTGGGAAATAGAGAAGTCAGGTGCCCTCCTCCAACCCCTATTTAGTCATGAAGCTTGGGCTGTCCCAGAACACCAAAGCCAACCCACCATGAGGGTGGTCAGTGGGACAATCCAGCCAGAGACATTGCTCAGTGCTCTTCCCTTAGCCTCACTGTGATACAAACTTTCTTGTGGTCTTTTGGAAAGGTCCCTCCTGCCTTCCTCCAGGCAATTTCTCAACTGAGAAACCTGATTCTCCCCTCAAGGAGAAGCACCTAGCAACCTCCAGGTCCTTCCCAGGAGCCAGCAGTACAGAAGACTGACACCAGGGCATAATGGCCTGGGAGGCCCTGTAGTCTTTGTACCAAATGCAATGATCCCTCACACCTTTGACTGAAAGACCCTGTCTCAATGAATAAGGGAGAAGAATGACTGAGGATGGTTCCCAACATTGATCACCTCAGGCCTCAAGCAAGCATGCATACTTCCGCCCCATGCATGCACCTAGACATGCAAAATCATGCATACTCTCACACATGTGCACCCCTACCCACACATGCAAAACACACATGCATACACACATGCCACCATGCACACAAAAAAACGGGGGTGGTCAGAGGTGTGAGCTCTGGTTTTGATCCTTAGCACTTGGGAGAGGAAGAATGTGACAGGAAATCAAATGGTAAGATCCTAGTCAGACAGAAACAACTCCCAGTACAGTATATAATCTAGCAGAGATTTTTGCAAAACAGCTCAAAACCAAGTCTTCATGTTAGAAATACGCTATTGAAGAGATTTCCAACTATGAACAGTATTCAAGGGATAGGGATATTCTTAAATCCCACTCTCCCAAGACAAATCCTTCCAAACCAGGTTTTCAGAGAACTCACCAGTTCCCATTCCACTGGATGCAGAAGAGGCCAGCTGTAGCCCAAAACACACGACAGCTGCCAGGCAAGAGTCTATGGGGCCACTTAAGCTGGGCAACAGATGATTAAATGAGTTGCCGTACTGAAATGGCAAGAGGCAAAACCAAAGCCTGTCTCCACTGTCTTAAAAACGGGAGGGTCACCAACATGAATACAAACGGATGATGAAGTAAGTCTCCAGATGTTTCCCCAGGACAACTTACAAACAAATGCTCCAAGGGACAGTTCCCTGTGCCCATGTGCAGGCACAATTTTGAAAAGCTAATTAGCTACAAAGTGCCAGGACCCCGGGACAATTCCGAGACCAGCAGAATCAATTGGCCACTTGTAGCTATAAGTCAAATGCAATTAGAAACTGGTTTTCTTGGTCACTTTAATTTCCCTGATGGAAATGGCTTACTTCAAATATATCTGCTCAGAGGGAGCAAAATACTGCGTAAGAGAATTCACCAAATTTCAACAGAGCAAGGAAATTTTGGCTTGAAGAAGCCTTGAATAAACTATTTCTGCCTTGCTAAATTCTAAAATGGGCTTCCTATGGTTTTTCTCCTCGTCCCTTAAACATAAGAATTCTCCTCTAACAGGCAAGACACACACACACACACACGCACACGCACACACACGCACACACACGCGCGCACACACACGCGCACACACACACACGCACACACACACACACACACACACACACACACACACACACACAGAGGCCCTTTGGTTCCCAGTATTCTCTCCTGGGTATACTCAGCATGCTTTCCTTTAATAATCTCCATGTAGAAAACAACAATTCTGGGTACATTATTCTGAGCCCCAGTTTCTTATCTGTTTAATAAGA